GACCGAAACCGACGGACCTGGACCCGCAAACATGACGGCCGCGACGCCCTCTCGCGAACCGAAAACGGTCAATTCGCTAATCGACGTGCCAAGGTTGGAGGTCTGTCCACCCCCGAGGTCAGTCCCCAGGGCCGGGCGGGTGCTCGCCCCGAGCCGCTTGCCGGCGCCCCTGGGGGCAGCCCTCGCGGCGAGGCAGGAAGAGCGGCCAGAGACGGCCCGCCGTGCGTCCTGCTCGCGGCGCGAGCACGCCTGGACGGGTGCTCGTGCTGAGTGGTGCCCGCACCCGTCTCAAGACGAGGCCAGGACGAGGGCCGCATCGCGGGGGACGAAACAGGGAGAGTCTCTGAGATCCAGCGCCTTTGGAGGGTGTCTCGGGCGCCGCGGCCTTCTCAGAGCGTTCTGGAGCGCTCTGGAACGGGTTCGTCCTCGTCCTTGTCCCGTCCGGCATCTCCGAGCTGACGGGCGGCGGCGGCGGCGGCGGTGGCGGTTCGTAAAGCTTCGGGTGGCGCGCAGGCAACCCCCCCAGTACATTCCCGCATGGCCTCCACAAGGCCCCCCAATAAGCCCCACTGACCTCTGCAGCCCCCCCATCCGAAAAAAATCCTGGGCGGTCTCAAGTCAAGGGGCCCAAGGACACACAAATAAATAGACACAAGTGACAGGATCCCCAATATGTCCCCATATTTTCTGGGTTTTTGTCCTCCCCCCCACTTCCCAAAAAGTACCCATTTTGGCTCACGGTCGCGCGCTCGCAGGCCCCGCCGCCGCGCGCCCAGATGCCGGGTGCGAAGGACGCCCGCACGGCGAACGCGCTGGAGGCCTCCAGGGGGGCCGTCCTGGCGGTCCACGCCGCAGCTGGGCTCGCCACCGCGGGAGGGTTGCGCTCCGCGGCGCGGCTCCTGCCGGCGGCGGAGGGGCTCCTCCGCACGGCGGTCGCCGAGCTCGGCACGCCGCCCGCCTCCCCCGCCGTCGACCACGGGGGGCCCCCGAAGGTGCCGCGGCGCCGACGCCCGCGCGGCCGCGGAGGTCTGAAGGAGGCGGACGAGCAGTACGAGAAGATGGACGTCGTGGAGGAGAAGTCCCTGGAGGAGGAGGTGGCCATCGTCGCGGAGATGGATGGTGGTGCGGCTGCAGGGGCGGCGGCGGCGCAGGGGGCCGTCGACGTCGCCATGGAGTTGCCGCCCGACGATTGGGCGGATGCCTTGCCTATCGTGCATGGGCGTCCTCGCCGCGCGGGCGGCTTTGGCTCTGGCATAGGCAGGGACATGGACGAGGTCAAGGGCGGCGCGGGCAAGGACAAGAGCGATGCGCGTGTTCAGCTCGCGCAGCGCGCCGCCGACCTCTCGAGTCGCCTGGGCCACCGCATCACGAACCACGCGCCACTCAGTGACGCCGAGCTGCACACCTTGGTCGGGCTCATGGAGCGGGAGCTTGCTGCGCGTGGCGGCGGGCTTGCTGAGGGAGGCCGTGGTCCTCCTCCTCACGGATGGCGTCGGCGTTGACGTCGT